CCAGTCTTTTTGGAGATGGCATCACATAGCCCAGGCTGTCCTTGAACTTGCCAAGGAGGATATGACTTTGAACTTACTGGTCCTCCTGTTTCTGTTTGTTCAGTGCTGGACTTACAGGCATGAATCATCAGGCCCAGTTTTATGTATCAAACCCAAGGCTTTGTACATGGTAGGCAAATACTCTACCAACTGAGCGTTACCTCCAGTGGTTTGTTTGTTCATTTCCGTATTAAATACTAACCCTCAGCTCACACATTACATATCACATAGCAACACATACACAAACACATATGTATATGTCTTTCCACAATGTCAGAATGTAGCTTACGGAATGGCTAATAAAAGGGCTAAACGGAGCTGGGTGTGGGAGCGTTTGGGAAGTCAAGGTAGGAAAATTAGGGGTTAGGAGTTGAAGTCTGTTCTTGGCTCCATAGTGAGTCTGAGACCTGCCTGGACTATAGGAGACTCCGTCTCAAAAAAAAAAAAAATCAAAAGAAAACCAAAACAACAACAAACACCCTCTCCCCCATCCCCAATCTGAAAACAGAAGCAAAAACAAACAAACATAAAAGAAATAAGGGAGTTGGAGACATGACTCTGGCTAAAAGAACTGGCTGCTGCTTTTGCAGGGAACCCGCACTCAGTTTCCAGCCCCTATGTGGTAGCCCACAAACATCTCTAACTCCAGTTCCAGGGGATCCAATGTCCTTTTCTGTTCTTTGCACACCAAGCACCCACATAGTATATATACATACATGTAAGTAAGTACTTATACCTATAAAGTAAAAGTAATTTCTTCTCTTTTTTTTTTTTTTTTTTTTTTTGAGACAGGGTTTCTCTGTGCAGGCCTGGCCATCCTGGAACTTGCTCTGTAGACCAGGCTGGCCTCAAACTCACAGAGATCTTCCTGCCTCTGCCTCCAGGACAGCCAGGGCTACACAGAGAAACCCTGTCTCTAAAAAGCAAAACAAATAAGCCAACAAAAACAGAGAGGGAGGGAGAGAGCGAGCTTATATGCATGCAGTTTGATAAGACATTAACCCAAAGGGAGAACTGCTGAAGATGTGCAACGGCAGGGCCATGGAGGTGAAGGGCAGGACCTGGTCCAGAGGGAAAGATGATTCCTGATGGACTGATGGACAGACTGAAATTGGAGTGGGCAATGATAGGTAGTCAGATATCATGCTGAGCCAAAGCCCCAGGGGAGAATAAGGAGAGAGAGTGTGTGTGTGTGTGTGTGTGTGTATGTATGTGTGTGT